CAGCTGCAATCATTCAAATTGGAGAAAATTGCTCCCAACTGATTCTTGCTTGCCTATTTATTTATTGGTAAGCAGTGTCCGCTTCCACTCCACAATGCCTGGGTTCAAACCCTGGTCAAAGCAACATCGCAAAAATATAGAAATATAGGTTTTTTCTTAACAGCGGTCGTCCCTCGGCAGGCAGTGGCAAACCTCCGAGTGCCATTTCTGCCATGAAAAACAGCTTCTCACAAAAATATAATCGCCGTTCGGAATCGGCGTAAAACTATAGGTCCCTCCGCTTTGTGTGACAACATCAAGGCGCACACCACAAATCGGAGGAGAAGCTCGGCCAAGCACTAACATATGTGTAAGCGCCAATATATTATTATTATTATGAGAACATATTGTATGGAACTGAAATCGCCATAACTCGACTCTGAAGGCACCTAACGGGTTCATTTCTCCTTATGTAGCGAATATATATTCTGTGTTTGACGAAAATCGGACCATAAGTGCGATATTTTAGCATAGCTCGACCCCTGCACCACCTATCGGAAATCTTAGGAGAGCATTGTTCCCAATTGATTCATGCTTGCCTATTTATAAGATATAAAGTTGTCGTATAATTATGGCGATATTTGAGGGATTCACAACGGTGTCGTAAATGTCGTATTCTGGTATGTCGTAAACTTTAAAAGTTTAAATAAATGTTTATAGAACTTGAAACCACAACTAACTTTTTTTTTACACTTCGAGAATACATAATATGACTTTGATGGTACTTTTCGAACCCCCTTAATATATTTTTTAGGCGTTTAAAGTTTGCGACACACAATAATACGATACTTACAACACCGTTGTGAATACCCCAATCGATTTCAATGGCGCATATTCATAGTCATATTTAGTTCACAACTAAGTCGAAACTATCCTAAGTTATAACTAAATCTATTCATAGTCGCCTTAGTTTCGACTTTTCTGGCTAAGTGCCAACTTTAAATTTAGTTTCGGCTGCAGCTGCAATTAAGTCGTAAGAACGCAAAACTTATTTATTATTATTCATACATTTATTTTTACCGGCAAAACTGTTGATTATATAGAAAAACGTTATATGAACAGATTAAATTGTAATTTTCAATTTTTTTAAATTTGTTTGAGCAAAATCGGACTAGTGGTTCTCGAGTTATGTCAAAAAAAAAAGACCACCAAAGGTGACAATTTCCCCTATATGATAGTTACTAACTTCAAATCGATATATCTCGATTCCTAGACATGACCCAGCGAAACGCCGGGACACGTATAACTTCTTTTTTACCGATATAACTTTCCCCGGTAGTTTGAACCCTTCCCGATCACTGACCCCTACCATTTGTCTCACAGTGTAATGAATGATCTCCAATTGAAATTTACAAAGAGCGATCCATTTGAATGGGAAGATGAAATTAAATCCGTTTTACAATTCGAATAAAGCTACATCACAATTTTATAATTGGAATGATTTAGATAAATTCTCAAATAATAAGTCAATTTCAAGCTTACTCTCTTAAAGTAAATAAACAGACAGCATAAACAGACAGCAACGTTGATTCGGATCAACTCGTTAATTCGGAATTATCTCAGGAATTAACTGCAGTTGATCCGGATAGGAATCCAATTTAAAATGAATAAGAACTTATTTCGGTGACTGCATTACCGACGACAGGGTGGATGTCTATGCTAGTTTTGCAGCTTCTGTGTGTTCTACGCTAACTGAGCAAATAAAGCAACCGATTCCTTCATCCGCGGTAGCCGAGTGGTGAGAGCTGCGTACTACAAGCCTGTAGGTCCCAGGTTCGATCCTCGGTTGGAGCGATTGCACAAAAAAATTTTGTTTTTATTATTTCTTTTATTTTTCTAAATTTTATTTGATTTATATATTTAATTGTTTTTTAATTTTATTTTCTTTGTTTTATTTTATTTCACATTTTTTATTTTATTATTAGTTAATTTAAATTTTTAGAGCTTAATGTTACTAAAAAGTAAAAAAAACTAACTAAAAACAACCTAAAAAAATATAGAAGTTATAAAAGAATCAATAAAAAAAATTAACTGAATATTCTACTGGCCGTGAGATTCGAACCTACGACCTCGCGACTCGTTAATCCGCATTACTGCCGTCTGTCAAGGCACAATTTTGATCAGATCAATTGCGGCGTTAATCCGGATCAACGGTGCCGTCTGTCTATGCTTTTAGTGCATAACATTTAGATACGTGTTTGTATGTTTCACAGCATGCTTCACATCACTGCGGTTGTTCTGGCTATTTCACACAATTAGCAAGAAAATTTTACCTTATTCTTTTGCGTAAACATGCAATGAAAGTAAAAATTACATAAACGGATGATCAAACTTGACNGTGCCGTCTGTCTATGCTTTTAGTGCATAACATTTAGATACGTGTTTGTATGTTTCACAGCATGCTTCACATCACTGCGGTTGTTCTGGCTATTTCACACAATTAGCAAGAAAATTTTACCTTATTCTTTTGCGTAAACATGCAATGAAAGTAAAAATTACATAAACGGATGATCAAACTTGACATTATTTAATAAAAATGTCATTCGATAAATTGATACATTTTCACACTCGTTTTGCTATGTCGTAAAACTAAGGTAAAACTACTTAGTAGAAGTCTGAAATGCGTCTATGAATAGAAGGGAATTTTAAGTTGGTACTTAAATTTAAGTTGCATCTTTATTAGTTTCGTCTTAGTAGCTGGACTATGAATACGCGCCAATGTGTTTAAGATAACATTCAGATAATAATAATAGATTGGCGCTTACGCAATATGTTAGTGTTTAGCCGAGCTTCTTCTCCAATTTGCGGCGTACGCCTTTGTGTTGTCACAGAAAACGGAAGGACTAACAGTTTTACGCTGACTCCTATCGGCGATTGTATTTTTATAAGAGGCTGTTTTTTCATGGCAGAAATACACTCGGAGGTCTGCCATTGTCACGCGTTAATACAGGGTGACAAGGAATAACGGCGACAAACTTCAACGAGGTCGTACTCGTGAATGCACCAACATAACTGTAAAATTTAGATCACGTTGAATTCTCTACTTAATCTAGTTATCAGTCATTTAGTTATCAGTATTCATTACGCTACCTAATTAAAAGTTTTGAAATGTCGAACAAAAGAAGTGCTATTTTGGAACTGCATCGCCAAGAAATGCGACAATGTGAAATTATTCGGTTGCTCAACGTTCCTCGCCAAACTGTTTCCAAAGCAATCCAGTGGTTCAATGAACTTGGCCATGAAGGTGATCGCCCGGGACGTGGAAGAAAACGAACTGTCAATACACCAAGGATCCGCCAGATAATTAAAAAGCGAGTTCAGCGAAATTCAAGGCTTTCAATGAGAAAAATTCCCCGCGAAACTGGTATTGGTCGTGAAACTGTTCGTCAAATTGCGAAAAAGGAACTTCACATTAAGCCGTACAAAATCCCAAGAGCGCAGTTGCTTACGGAAGAAAACAAAAAAGTACGGCTGGAAAGATGTCGACAACTCTTGCGTCGTGCCGCAAATGCTCGCTGGGAAAAATTCTTTTCACTGATGAGAAACTGTGTACCATTGAGCAAGTCGTCGAGCACCGCTAAAATCTCAAATCTGTGATGGTTTGGGCTGGAATTTGTTTATCCGGCAAAACACCTCTGATTTTTGTGGATCAGGGAATTAAAATCAACAGGGAAGTTTTCCGTCGTAACATTTTGGGGGCTGTGGTACTTCCTTGGGCCCAAGAGCATTTTGGCGAACAGGAATGGACATTCCAACAGGACTCGGCTGCTGCTCACAGGACATCAGAAGTTCAAGACTGGTGCAAAGACAATTTTCCGAACGTTATCACAGCTGCAGAATGGCCACCGTACTCACCAGATCCTTATCCCATGGATACGGTGACCATATTTATGAGAGCCGAATACGGGACAAAAATAATTTTGCAAATTCTTTCCACCACAGCTTACAGATCTGAAAGCCTCCTTCAATGAGCCTAGATGTATTAGCCCTGAAACAGCATCCTTTTAGTAAAATCAAAAATTTGTAGGATAATTTTCTCGAGATTTTTACCCCGAAAAATTTGTTTAAAAAATTCGTTAAATTTTAGTATAATAAAGCGCAATATTAAGTCGCTAAGGCTTGCCATTAGTTTTTGGCAATTTTTGTTTTTGTTGACGGTGTTGCGTATTTTTTCGTACAGAGTAAGTGAAATATTGCAGAATTAATTTTTATAGTTTTTTGGCACAAAGTTGGTAATTTGATATTATATGATTTTTGTTAGGAAAAGAGCTTTACTTTCATAAATAATAAATTTTAAATAAACTAAGGAAAATATCCAAAACTTACTAAAATGTCGAGTGCTAATTTTTATTTTAGTCACTGTATGTTATCCTCGATTCGAATCACAGGCATTCAGATTAGAAAATAATAACTGTTTATGGAGAAAATTACGATCACATACCAACATCACTTAAAACTCGTTCATAGACATGCCATTTTAATGAGCTCTTAAGTGGGCGAAATACCAAATACGGGACATTAAAAGAAATACAGAACATTTAGCGTCCCGTATAAAATAAATAAATTAACAGGACAATGGGTAATAAAAGAGGACTGTCCCGTATAATACAGGACGGATGGTCACCGTACCCATGGATTACAGCATTTGGTCAATTTTGGAGACCAGAGCTTGTGCTAAGCCACGCAAAAGTTTGGACTCCCTAAAGCAATCACTGCGCCGTGAACGGGATCTTATTTCGCTAGAGGAGCTGCGTCGTTTTAAACACAAATTAGTAATGCCTAGTACTATTGTAATTATACATAAGTTGTTTCTTTAAATTTTTCTAAAATTATAGAAAAATATGCAAAAATGCTTGTCCCCGTTATTTATTGTCACCCTGTATGTTGTATTTCGCTGCCAACGCCGCTGCGCACGTTCGGCAAAGCGAATCAAAGGAATAAGACTGCGCTGCAAGACACACTTCGCAATATGTGATACTGTGAGTTCGCCCGCCACTGCTTCAGATACATATTCTATGAAAGTATTAGTATCTGTGCTTAAGCAATTAGAAATGAATGTAAGTTTTACCCTGATATGCGGATTTATAAGTATTCTTGCTAGTTCTCTTGATTCCAAACGGCGTGAAGGCGAGCACTTTCTAATAATATCGTCGCAAATTTGTTTATTATTTAAATATATGGGTTGTATTGCGTCAGCTGTTGCCTGAAAAAGAAGAAAACAAATTCTTTACATTAAAATGGTTGTGAAACCTTTTCGAAAAACATTTTCATCACACACTTTTTATAACCACATTACAAAGAATACTTATTCAACTCTAGCCAATAACAACTTTATCCTACAGGCTTAGAAACGATATAGCCGCTCGTTGTATATACATTTTAGACTATTCCCATGCTTGAAATTGGGCGGAAGCATATTATTTTGGAAGCCTTGTAATAATAAAATCTCTGGTGGTTTTGGATTATTTAATTTAAAATGTTCTTCCAACTCAGTGTGTCATGAACTCAAGGTATTTTAATAATAATTTCTTATATTAATGTTACGCTTTTATTTTTGCGTTTAATCGCGCATTTTTTGCAGATTCTTCAAAGCTGAAAAATCATACATTCATTATTATGACCTTACGCTAATTCTAAAATCGGAAATGGAGAGATGTAGGAACTGCAGTCTGGAATACAGAAGTGTTATGGAAACTTAAGGAAAATAGGTAAAATTCGGAGAAACAACTGAAAAGTCTGTTGAAGTATTATCACTGATATCACTGATATAAATAAATATTCCAACCAACAAGTAGTTAAAAAATACAAGTTCTAATGCTCTGGTAAATACTCTCGTAAAACTAGTAGGGGAAAAACAATGAAGTGAAAATTGAGGCCCAAAACGAAGATATTTCTCGTAAAATTACCAATAAGTTTGATAATTTACACTTATCAACTTAAAAGTAGTCGAGGACTAGAAGTTGTCATAAAAGGCATCGAGTCCAGCGTGGACTCACAAGATATAGAAAATGCTCTTAGAGAAGAGTGTTTTAAGGTATGCAGTGTTTTCAACATCAAAAATTAAGAAAAAATTCCTCAACCGACGTGCAAAATAGAGTAGGGCTGAGGATCTGACCCGGGTCTTCGAAAAAATGTGTGGGGGTAAAATTTAAGTGCATTTACGATACTATAGCGTAAGCGAACGTACATAGGAAATGCCATATGGTGAAAAGTTATATTATGTATCCGTATCATAACAATAATTTTACGTTCGTAGAAGTATTTTTCCCGCGGCCACACTTTATAACCAGTTTTTATTTGATCGGTTTGGATTTTCATTTCCCAATACCAGGCGCTCCTACATGTGAAGCAACAAGTTTTCCATTTCTACGCACAAAATTGTTTGTATATTTAAATTTTAAAATTTCCCAAATTTCTACTTTGTGAGTCTCCAAGGCCTCTACAAACGAATTAAAAAGTTCTAAGAAACAAACTTGTCGATGCCCTCTGAACCAAAGTACCCAAAATCTTAACGAAATCTTTAGAAGTATCTCATTTCTGTAACGATTTTTTTTTACGAATTTTCAAAGAACATTATATGAAATGGTTGACAAGAAGTCGTAAAGAAATTTCTGTACGAAAAATAAAGTAAATCCTGCAAGAAATTGATCACATAGTAGCATTATTTTCATTGCTTCACCGATTTTTTTCCAAAATTTCGTAAAAGGATCGAAGTGTGCACAGTTTATTTTATTTTAGAAAATTCGGCAAAAAATCGGATGAGATCTTTACGAATTCTTAAAAATTCCTCTACAATTCAGAATACTCTGAAAAAATTGTATGTATGTAAGTGTGTAAGTAGGTTTCTAACTTTTTCATATTTTGGCGCGTTGGCAGAAGTTACTGCCGGCTAGAAGTGTCTGGCAATACTTGATAGTGTTTTTAAAATATTAATATTTAATATTCTTTAATTACATACATATGTATGTACACATATCGACACCTGTAGTGCAATTCACTAACTTTTAACGTTACGATTTTGTAGTTTGCAGTAACGATTGTGTTATTCTGGAGCTCTTTTTTAACGACACTAAACAGCTGACATTTTCTTTTTATTTAAATAAAAGAAATGTGGCATCACAGCTTAAGGAAACGTCAAAAGATGCGAAAAGCACAAAGAGGAATGACGAAAATCAAATAAATTCCTTGCTTGCAAAGTGGTATACACATAGTTTTCAGGATATTTTAATATATTTTTACAAAACGTAAGAGTGCAATGGGGTATAGTCGTTGCGCTGGGTATGCAGTTACAGTTGCATGGCTATACACCAATGATGGGCACACCTAAATACTTTTGTACTTAACGTACCACTTTGGGAACTAAATACATACACAAATACTTAGTATTTTGAGATGACTAAATATTCAAGTAAAAAGAACTTAGGTATTTAGGAGCTGCTAAATACCCAAGTACTATTTACTTAGGTATTTAGGAGCTGCTAAATACCCAAGTAAACAATACTTAGGTATTTAGGTGGTGCTAAATACTCAAGTAAAAAGTATTTAGGTATTTAGGAGCTATTAGATATTAAAGTAAGAAAAACTTGAGTATTTAGGAGCTGCTAGATACCAAAGTACAAAAAACGAAAGTATTTAGCAGGCGCTAAATACTCTGGTCCAAAGTACTCAGGTACCTTGGGGATGCAAAATACTTTCACTAAAGTACCAAGGTATTTAGTCGATGGCTAAATACTTTCAAACTAAATACTGTATAATTTAGGAGAAATTTTGAGAATTAACACCTCACCTTACACTCACCTCAACTTACTTTACCACAACTCACTTCACCTCTCCTCAAATCAACTCACCACATACAAACTCACCACACCTCACCTAAACTCACCACACCTCCTACTGGTACACCAAAATCCGCCAAATCTTAACTCACCACAGTTAAACTCATCACACCCGTTCTCACCACACCTCAATTTGGGGACTGTTTCTGCATTTGAGAGATTCGTCAAACTAAATCAGGATTTTCAAGACTATTTCGGGGCTTTCGGGAGTATTTTGGGATTTTCGAAGCTATTTCGTAATTCTTTAGGAATTTAGGGTTTGAGATTTGCGGGATTCTCGGAACTAATATCGAGATTTTCGAGACTACTTTCACAATATTTAGGTATTTTTGGAACTAGTTTCGGGATTTTTGGGACTTTCGGGATTCTCGGAATTTATAGCGGGATTTTCGGGAGAATTTCGAGATTATCGGGATTTTTGGGACTCCTGGACTATTTTTGGATTTTTAGGACTAATTTCAAGCTTTTGGGACTTTCGGGACTATTTCGGGATTCTCGGAGCTAATTTCGGGACTGTTGGGACTTTCGATGCTCTTTAGGTATTTTTGGGACTCTCGGGACTATTTCGGGATTATCGGGAGTAATTTAGGTATTTTTGGGACATTCCGAGATTATTTCCAGATTTTTGGCACTTATTTTGGATGTTTGGAACTTTTGGGAGTATATCGATTTTTTTGGGAATTCTTTTGGATTTTTTAGACTTTCGGGACCATTTCGAGGTTTTCAGGAGCATTTCGGGACTTTTGAACTAATTTCGGATTTTCGGGACTTTCGGGACTATTTCTCTATTTTTGGGGAATTGTTAGGAATTTTGGGACTTGCAGAACTATTTAGGGATTTTTGGGACTTATTTCGGATTTATACAACTTTCGGGACTGTTGGGACTTTCGATGCTATTTAGGGATTTTTGGGACTCTCGGGACAATTTCGGGATTCTCGGGAGTAATTTCGGGATTTTTGGGAATTTCGGGAGTATTTTGGAATTTTTGGAACTCTTGGGACTATTTCGGGATTCTCGGAACTGATTTCAGGACTTTCGGGATTATTTAGGAATTTTTGGGACTAATTTCGGATTTTTGGGACTGCCGAGACTACTTGGAGCTTGCGGGACTTCCGGGGTTCCTGGGACTAGTTTCAGGAATTTTGGGACTTTCTGAAATAGTTTCGAAAGTCTTAAAGTTCCTAAATTAGTCCCAAATTCCCAAATGGTCCCGAAAGTCTCAAAAATTAAAAAAATAGTCCCGAAAGTCCCAAATATCCCTAAACGGCCTCAAATGTCCCAAAACACTAAAATTAGGCCCAAAAACAAAGATAGTCCCGGGAGTCCCAAAAATCCTGAGGTAGTCTCGAAAATCCCGAAATTCGTTCCGAGAATCCCGAAATTCCCAAAATTAGATCCGAGACTCTCAAAATAGTCCCGAAAGTCCCAAATATCCCTAAACGGCCTCAAATGTCCCAAAACACTAAAATTAGGCCCAAAAACAAAGATAGTCCCGGGAGTCCCAAAAATCCTGAGGTAGTCTCGAAAATCCCGAAATTCGTTCCGAGAATCCCGAAATTCCCAAAATTAGATCCGAGACTCTCAAAATAGTCCCGAAAGTCCCGAAATTAGTCATTATAAGCCCGAAATAGTCCCGAAAGTCCCAAAAATTCCGAAATACTCCCGAAAACCCCAAAAATCCTGAAATTACTCCCGACAAACCCTAAATAGACCTGAAAGTTCCAAAAATCCAAAATAAGTCCCAAAAATCTGGAAAGTCTCGAAAGTCCCAAATTACTCCCGCAATAGTCCCGAGAATCCCAAAAATCCTTAAATGGCCCCGAAATAGTCCTGAAAGTTCAAAAAATCCGAAATAAGTCCCAAAATTCCTAAATTATTCCCAAAAATAGTCCTAAAAGCTCCAAAAATCCGAAATTAGTCCAAAAATCCCGAAAAACTCCTAAAAACCCCGAAATGGTCCCGAAAGTCTCAAAATTCCAAAAGAAGTCCCAAAAAATCGATATACTCCCGAAAGCCCCGAAATTAGTTCCAAAAATCGCAAAATCAGTTCCGCGAATTACGAAATAGTCCCGAAAATACCAAAAATCTTGAAATAGTTCCGAAAGTCCCAAAGTTCCTAAATTAGTCCCAAAAATTTCTAAATAATCCCGAAAGTCCCAAAAATTCCGAAATTCCTCCTGACAATCCCGAAATAGACCCGAATGTTCCAAAAATCCGAAATAAGTCCCAAAATTCTGTAAATAGTCCCGAAAGTCCCAAAAATACCTAAATTTCTCCCGAAACTCCCAAAAATCCGAAATTAGTCCCAAAAATTTGGAAATAGTCTCGAAAGTCCGAAAATCCCGAAATTACTCCCGATAATCTGGA